CCTTGGGAGCCACCCCCAAAGACTCAAACCCTAGGAGAAAGCTTATTCTCCGATTAACCACCAGTAAACACTTACCATTATTGCATGATTATCATCCAAAACAGAAAAAGGAAAAGTAATAAAAGAATCATCCTTACCTCTTGAATATGAAGATTGAAACTCCTACTCTGAATGTCAAGTGCGCACCAATCTGAAAGATGAAAAATCTAGTCTCACGAAAGCTTCTTGCTCTTTCTGAAAAGTGAGTATTGTGACATTGCTTGAGGTGAGCCTGGGATTTTATAGTGAAGGAAGTGGCGCTTGGTTTTCCTGAAGTCAAGTGATGTCTAGACGGAAGTCATCTCTCCCCGTTGATTGCAACCACGTGTCATCAATCAACGGGAAAAAGTAATTGTCATGCTTCAAGAAATCAAATCTTTGCTTCTCTCTATTGAAATAATCGAGCGATGACTCGTTCCCTCCTCTACATTAAATGTGCTCTCATCCGTATTTAATGTTCTGATAAGGAATGTCGTTTCAGCATGACTTACATTTAATGCGCTTGGCTGGCACTTATTACGCATAGAACACATCTATCAGAGCAAAAGGTGTTTCATTAATGTATTAGCTGTCAAAGCACAACAGATAACATCTGAAGAGGTCGTTAGATAAAACACTTTTCATCGCATGTCAGTTGCGAAGCGATGTGATTCCTTGCCTTCAGCAAAAAATACACTAAGTATAACCAAATTGTGAACCTCAGTCAAAATAACAGTCTCATCAATACGACACTGAATAAGGTCTGATCCAGGTTGCAGACCTTGCAGAAGAAGACCATTTTAGGTCGCCTATATGGAAATGTATTACGACCACCTTACAGCCAGGACGGATCGATCATCCGCCATTCGACACATATCAAATCAAGGCATAATTATGTAGTTCTCAAGGTTCGATTCTCAAACCTTAAAAACTAGAGGATTTCTGTTATGCTTGAAAAAGTAGGGCTAATGCAGAGCCTTGCAGCATGGGTGGTTAGAGCTTAAGAAGGTTCTACAACCGCTCAGATGCAGCCATGTCGCATGTTGACGTAAGTAGCATGCTCCTGCCAGTGTAGTGGGTGTATGCCAGGTTGGCGGAAGGTTGGAAATGGCCCACGTGTCCAATCTCTGCACAAATCCAGGAAATCACTCGGGTAGGTGAGCAATGGGACACAGAGAAGTATTTGCACAACATTTATCCCACTCGCAGATTTAGTAATCATTACCTTGATTCATCCCACTATAAATCGAGGGCGTCTCTCCCATTTGTAGGATTGGCTAATTTCACTATGAAATAGCTTACTCTCTCTCTCTCTCTCTCTCTCTCTCTCTCTCTCTCTCTCTCTCTCTTGTATTCTCTAAACTGTAACTCAGCTCGCTAAATGCGACATAACTACACTCATTAATACAATATTAGTAGACGTAGGATTTGCCTTGTGAGCATCCGAACCACTTTAAACATTGTTCTTCGCCCTTCATTCAACTTAATACTTTCATAATCACGTGTGATTTCTGAGCCCGCTTAGTATTTCTCACGTGCGAATAGTTGGTGTCAAAATCAAGCATCAACAAAATCAAATGAAACGAGCATAAGGGTGCGGGGTTGAAGTAAATAGATATCAGTCTGAAATTAAGTTAAATCCAAAGAAAAAAAGCATTAAGGGGAACATACCCTCCTTGTCTTGATAAATTCAGAGAAAGGTGAACCAGTCGACTCAATCAGAATCTTCAGACAATATTGGTTCATGTGGAAGTACTGAAACAGAATAGAAAGGAATCATGTTCAAGAGTATATTTGAAATATGGGCTAACAAGATAGTAATGTTGCTATTCGACATTGACATTGCTCTCCTGGCTGCATCATGCACACAAAATCAAAAGGACAACACATTTTTGGCTACCATCTCCTTCCCTTATCAACTGTTTTCCTTCATATTGATGCTTGCTTTCTATGCATCACTAACAGGAATCATCTTGTTGCCTGTTTTCCCCAAACTGGCCAGAGGATTTTACCTTTTCGTCTTCTTCTGTGTCCTGACAGCTGTAACCATTTTCTTTTTTGCTATTCTCCCTAGTCATCTCAATGACGCCCCCTGGATTTGTCTTGTGTTTATGCTATTCATAGTTTTTGGTCTGGCTCTTTATGAACAGTGTGGCTGAGTACTTAGCGGAGGACAAAGTTTTGTATTAATTAATTAGATTTAATTTCTTTGAATAATTTCTTATTTCTAACTAAAACAGACTCCTCCTAAGACTCAGTATAACTAACAATTTCCATAAGAACAGGACAAAGCAACGACATATTCAGTACTAATTAAAATAAACTCTTAACAAAAAGTTATTGTGAAATACAATTTATGCAACAATACTGAGGAATAATGGAAGGCAGGACCTGAATCCTGAGAAAGCAGCCGCCCACAAGAAAATTGCAATACTTGTGGCGATGGAAGCCACAGAAAAAGTATACGAAATGCTTGCAATCTTTGGCTCTGATTTCCGGAAAACCATGGAGTAACCGGAACCAAAACAGACACCCAGAATGCAAAAAAGGAAGGCATGGAAAGTAGCTTGTTGATCGTCAAAAATAATACTAGGAACCCAGTTTCCATCGATGTATGTCATCTGAAGTAGCAAGATTAGAATTGGGGTAAAAATGACGGTGGCATGGAATATTAATTCTTCGGAGTAGAGAACTGGCGGTGGACATATGCCCGCGACGGGGACGGCATGAATGAGGGGTGGTAATCTGAATTTCATCCCTATAACAACAAATGGAACAAATTGCGTATTTAAGAATTGTGATGATGGGAGTTGTGTAGATATGGAATAATCAAAAGCTAAAGTAGTCCACACTCCAAACAAAGGATAAAGAAAAAATCTCAACCAATGAGAGGAGAGGAGAATCAAAGGAAAAAAAAAAAAAAGTTTATAAATTAAGCAAACACCCCAACCCACCCAACTGATTGTCGACAATCGACCACCACCATCGAACAGTGGCCGTAAGTCACCTGAATGGTGTACGACCGACTAGATCTAGTCGACTGTCCACTAATCTAGCCACTGACGATGGTCATATCTTGGTCATCATTGACGAGCAAATTTCTGGCAGTAGTTTGGTCGTCAATTACAGCTAAGATATGACCATCGTCAACGGCCAGATCTTTGGCCGTGGATTTGGCCATTTCCGAGCAAATTCATGGTAGATTTGGTCGAAAATGGACAGATCGGCTCACGATCAGCCAAATTCGACCAATCGTGTGTCATTTCGATACCAGCAGCCGGCAGTGGTTGTTGACGGGCAATTGTTACTTGGGTGGGTGGGGGTGTAAACTTTATTGAGAAATAAAATTGTTAAATGTTTTGAGTTGAATATAATATAATTGGATTTTGAACATTATTAAACGAACACGTTTTTCATTTTTTAGAATAAGATAGTAAAATAAAAAATGGTTGAAAAAGTGTACCAAAAAGGAGGTTAATTATATATATATATATATACTAGAGTAATTAATTCATACATACGAAGTCACTCACCAGTCACCAATACAAAAAAACGAAATCCACAACTAAAACAGACTCAGTATAATTAACAACTTCCATAAAAATAGGTCAAAGCAACAACATATTCAATACTAATTAAAATAAACTCTTAACAAAAAATTATTGTAAAATACTTTGATCATCAAAAATAATAGTAAGAACACTACTTCCATCGATATTTGTCCTCGGAAATAGTAGGGTTAGCATTGGGGTAAGATAGAGGGTGGCATGGAATATCAATTCGTCGAAGTAGAGCACTTGTGGTGGACATATGCCCGCTATGGGGACGGCGTGAATGAGGGGTGGTAATTAAATTTCATTCTTATAACAGCTTTCTAAACAGATGTTTGTCTGGGCTTATGAAAATTAGCTTATAAGCAACTAGTGCTTATAAGCTAATTTGAGCTTATAAGCATTTGAAATTTATAGCTACGTGTTTGGTTAAGTAATTGACGCGTTTGATAAGAAATATCTGATGTTGGACATACAGGATGGCAATGTCATTTAATCTGTCTTAAAACAAAAAGAGTAACTGGTAAAACGGTTTCGTGTGTTATTTAACCCATGTAAATTTCATTTATTTGGGTCATAACAACCCCTTAAGTATAATAAACTAACGAAACCCCCCTGTGGTTAAACTAAATAACTAATCACAAAAATTCCTCTATCATTAAGTTTTTTTTAATTAAAATAAACAGTATAGGAGTGATTCCGTAACTACATACCCAAATGATAGGGGAATTTATGTTATTTTTTAAATTTCAGAATATGGTTTGTTCTTCCCTTTATTTAATTAATTAGTTAAAGACAATTCTTTATTAATCATAAAGTGTTGAGATTTGAAAATATAAACAAAAGGAAAATATAGTTTAAACCCCATTTAATTTTATCAATAGCCCTCACTTTTTATTTATATTAGGGTAAAATTATAAAACAAGGATAGAATTGTAAATTGCGAATTTTATTCTCTTTCTTTCTTTTTTTTTTCCCCTTTTTTTAAATCAAATATAATTCTCATTTGTTTATGAATTAATGTCTGGCTTTTTTTATGTTATTAGGAGAATATTATTCTATTTAATTTTCATAAAGTTCCCACAGGTCAACCCATACCCATATAGGATAGGGTACGAGTTTAATATTTTGGGCCCAGGGCGTGCACCCATTTCTCTTCCACTTTCTCCTTTATAATTTAAAATAAAAAATTATGGTCCACCATTTTCACTAAATGGTGTGTGAGTGTAAACAACTCATCTTCACTAAAAATGAAAACGGCATAAATTATGGGGGTGTAATTATAAAATACAAAACTTGAGTGAACCGTATGGATACCCGCGGGTTCAACCGTACCCGCATAGGGTAGGTCCGCGTCTAAAATAATTAATTAAAAAAATCTTAGTTTATTTGTTCATACTTCAATAAACTAGTTGAAAATTTTGTAGTATAATGAAAGGAAGAAGCAATAACCAGAAAGAGAAGAAGACAAAGACTGATAAAAATGGAAGCCAACACCAGCACCACCTTCCTCTTCCGACTCCCCAAAAAATGGGAAACTTCAATCTTTCTCACAGGTTAGTGATTCTGCAAAATGAATTGTTCCATTAATGTTGTGAAGCTAATAGAAAATCTTTAAAACCATTGGGAGTTAATTACAGATTCATTTATATTGGTTAGATCATATTACAATATCCCTAAACCTCATGCTATCTTATATTACTCTCAGCGCACATCTAATGCTGGGTTTCTCATTGCCGAAGCAACCGGAGTCTCTGTTACCGCACGAGGGTGTTTTTGATTTTTTATTTTTCCCTTAAATCTCATTAATTCAACAAAAAAATGATGTTAATTTTATCGAGAAATTTATTTGAAGGTACCCAAACAGACCTGGAATTTGGACAAAAGAGCAAGTTGAAGCTTGGAAACCGATTGTGAAAGCTGTACATGAGAAGAGAGGCATCTTCTTTTGCCAAATTTGTCCTGTCGGCCGAGTCTCAAATTATGGTATGATCAAACTTTTGTTAGGAGTTTCGTAGTGAAATATCGAGATTAAGAACATGGATATAAAATCACATCACAACGATACACAATAGTTAACATGATTCAGCTTAACCTGTTTGCATCCACAGGTGAAATAGATAGTATCATTAATTCGGATATGCAAGAGTACACACTTTAAACCCAACATCTAAAGGAGTGAAAACAGTCGTAACAAACAATTTATTTTACTTGTTTGATATTTACATCAATTTCATTATAGCATATCAGCCAAATGGTGAAGCTCCAATCTCATGTACCAATAAGGGAGTGACGCCTGGCCTGGAAGGAGGAGATTGGTCACCTCCTCGTTCATTGAGAACCGATGAAATCCCCCAAATTGTGAATGATTTCAGGCTTGCTGCATGTAATGCCATTGAAGCAGGTGACTCCATTTCACATCTTCCGTAACTCAAACCACCCCTTTTCCCTTACTTTTAGAATTTCCTAGGTTTTGATGGGGTTGAAATCCATGGAGCAAACGGATACTTGATCGATCAGTTCATGAAAGATAAAGTAAATGACAGAACTGAAAAGTATGGTGGAAACTTAGAGAATCGGTGTTGTTTTGCTCTAGAAATAGTTGAAGCTGTGGTAAATGAAATTGGAGCTGATAAAGTTGGCATAAGACTATCACCTTATGAACATTACATGAAGGCTGTTGACTCAAATCCTGAAGCATTAGGCTTGTACATGGCCAATGCACTCAACAAATTTGGGATTGCTTATCTGCACATAATCGAGCCGCGGAGGATTAAAACTGTAGATGAGTATGAAATTCTGCAGTGTTTACTTCCTATCAGGAAGGCTTTTAAGGGTAATTTCATAGTTGCTGGAGGCTACAATAGAGAGAATTGTAACAAGGCTGTTGCAGAAAATTACACAGATTTAGTTATATTTGGTCGCTTGTTCCTGGCTAATCCTGATTTGCCGAAGCGACTTGAGCCAAACGCAGAGTTGAATAAGCATGACGGAGGCACAATGTATATTACTGATCCTATTATTGTTTATACAGACTATCCATTTTTGGAGAATTCTGCTTAGACATTTTATTTAGCTTGCATTTGTAAAATAATAGAATCCTCTTATGATATATCGTGCTGTCCATTTAGCTTGCCAAAGTGAGCTTTATGTTTTTCTACTCTGTTAATGCGGTAATGTGCCCAGAAAAATTTCAGTATATATATCGTTCTGTTTTTATGGTCTCCCGTTTCATACTTGTTATTGTTAAATGCATTATAGGAACCTAATTTTCAATCAGACAATAACTATGTTTAAACCTCAATTTGGCTAACTGAAAGACACCATATTGATTTCTTAGTACAGAGATACAACACACTTAAGTAGAAGACAATAAGAAATAACAAAATTAAGCGATTCTGTGAAATCTATGCAGCGCTCATAGCAGAGTTAAGCGAAAGATACGACTTCAACCCGGCACAAACAGCTGCCGCCAACAGAACTAGAAGACTTGCCGCAAATGTAACCACAGCAAGACCATTGTACAACCTTGCTACTTTTGGCTTTCGTTCTCGGAGATAAATTGAGCAAATGGAAGTATAACAAGCCGCCATAATGAATATAAGAAAGGCATGGAAAGAAGAGGGTTGAGTAGCAAAAATAAAAGTGGGTACGGGCTTACCATTGATATTAGTCATAGGGAGTTGCAGGATTAGTACTGTGATTATACAAGATAAAGTAAATACCAATTCATCGATGTAGATTCGTAGGTACTCTTTCTGTGTAGTGCTAGTGCATGCCTCTAAATCGGACTCTGATACAAACGCGAAGCTGAATCTACCAAGTCTCATTCTTGAAATCAGTTGATATAATAGAGGTAGTAGAGCAGTGAAAACAATGTTGGGATTATGTCTATATATATATAGAGCCAGGTGGGAGAGATTAGAAATATTTGTAAGATCTTGGCAGGTTCTTGGGTGGTGACGTGTTAGTGCTTTCGACGGAAGCTAAGAAATTTCATGGAGGGTTACTGGAAAGTTTCCATTGAAGTATTGTTAATGCTCTTTTTCTCATTCAGAAGACTTCACTTTAGCATTTAGTTCAGAGGTTTCAATGAAAGTTCCATGTGGAAATTTCCTGGAAGTTGCGCGAAGAATAAAGGGGGGAGAAACGCGGTTTGGTCATAAGTCATAACCCATTATAGTGGGGAGTATTTATTATCGGTACCTCCCCTGAGGTTTAAGGATCTCCTAACAAATCCCTAATGTTTAAGAATCTCTCAACTACCTCCCTTGGCTGAGTTGGCTCGAGCAGCTGTCCTTACAACATCAAACCTTGAAACAAAATTCCCGATAACAAAACAACATCAAATTTAGCTGTTTAAATAGAATTTCAAAGCAGAAATTTAACATAAAGAACAAAAATTTGAAACCTAGTCGGTTTGATCAACTTAAAATTTGAAACCTAGTCGGTTTGATCAACTTAAAATTTGAAACCTAGTCGGTTTGATCAACTTAAAATTTGAAAGGTCTACCTGAGATTAGAAGAAGCACAGCTGAACGGCATCAAAGAACGCACAAAGGGTATTCAAAACAACGAGCAAGCATCGATCTTGCCAGATGACCACCGCCATCATCATCATCAAGAGCATAACATAATTTTAAGTATTAAAAGCCAAACATAAAGAAGTTTTAAAGAAAAACAAGTGAAGAAGATAAGTTAAAGGAAGAAAAGGGCGATTAATTAAGTATAGAAAGAGAAGGTAAAAGGGGCTATCGGGTCAAACAAAGGGAGGCCGTGTTTTTCATTTCAAGATCCTGCGACGACTGAGATTGTCAATAGCGAACGGGACGGCGACATCAGCAAGAGGCACAGGCGACGTCGACGACAGGGGCAGATCGGCAGGGTCGTAGAGAGGCTTTAGCTTCTAGGGTTTTTTTATCCAATTCTAAATACCCAATTCGATTTTGACATATTTCGAATACGGGTGGGTTTGTCAATTTTAAAAACTAGAAAGTTTGTGGCCCCCTATTAGTTTCAAAACTATCACATATACCCTCAAGCTCGCCACAGGCAACTACAGCATGTACCAAATTTGATCAACAATAAGAGATGGATACTGACGTGACATAAAATGAATGGACGAGTGAATATAAAAAGTCAAACTCATCATATTCAATCTTTCATTTATTTTGTGTCACATCAATTTATACACAAATCTTATATATATATATATATATATATATACACCTTAAATTCCTTTATTGCTAACATGCTTTAATAAAACAAAAGACACTCAATTAAGATTTCACACCAAAATCTTACACCCACCAGGTGTGGTACTTAAGCCTAGAAGCTCTCTTGTCTATCAGGTCGGTCTTTTGGATTGGGCTCTCCCTTGGGCTTAAGTTCTAACATTGGTGTTTTCGTTGAAAGTTTGGCTGCGGAAAGAGCTACCTATAGGCTAGATTAAGGTGTAGTGTGATCTCCTTAAGAGGGGATGCTACATCGAATAACTGATGGGTGAGTGAAGTCACACAAAGGGGGAAAGAGCTACCATCGGGTTAGTGTCAATAGAGTGAAAGTCGTTATGGATATCGGCTCTTGAAGGGGGGTGCAATATTAAGATCTCATATCGGGATCTCACACCCACCAAGTGTAGTACTTAAGCCTAGAGGCTCTCTTTTGGGCTTGAGTTCTAACACACTCAAATTAGCAATTAGAAAACAAAAAAGAAAATGCTATACCCACAACTTCTTCTCGTAAACTTCCTCTCACAACCCCGCGTAGCAGCTCGCAATTGGTCAACTCGCAATGGGTCTTACCGAGATCCTACCTAATAAATTACTATTGACCAATTACGAGTTATCACATCGAGATTGTGAGAGGAAGTTGGTAAGAAAATGTTGTGAGTATAGCATTACTCAAACAAAAATGGCCTTGTCAAAAAACACTTTCTTCTCCTAGTATTGTTTTTAATTTCCTTGTTCCCTCAGTGCGGTAATAAAACCCATTAAATACTACATAAATTTGATCTTCTCTTCTTCTTTGTTTTCTGTAAATTTTATATTTGATAGATTTATCTACTATTTCTATGGATAATTGTTAAAAATTCTCTCAAAGTGGGAACAAAATTAGGTAGCTGAATACGCCAAGAAAACAAAATTTTCTTCATTTCCCACTGCAGAAAGTTCAGATAAACCAAAAGGTGATTTCTATTTATCTGTAAAGGTTATGAACCTACAACTACAAGATAGTATTTAATATTTATCTACAACTTAACATAAATTAATAAATACATTCCCGCGTTGTATTGTATCTATATTCTATAGATGTGAGTACTACGTTTTATCTCTCTATTAATGGATAATATTCTGCAACTTCAAGGTTATGAGACACCTTTGCTTGACAAATACAGTCTACCCTTAAATTAATGGGATCTCTTTTCTTTTCACATTACAATATTCTATATGTTAATTATCCAGCATAAACCCTCGGGCATATGCAGCATCAATATGCCGGCATCCATATTCCACAAACAAGCAGCTTCGGAAGTAAAATGTTAGGATTATTTTAGAATTAGGATAATTATGTTAAGTCTTTTATAATTATATTAAGTTTTTTATGATTATGTTATTATCTTATTATAATAGAATTAAGATTATCTAATTATCTTTTTATAATTAGGATATAATATTTTATTAGATTTGAATTAGGCAATTAGAGTCATTTTGGGAGTCATTGGAGTCAAGTGTAAGGCTATATAATAGCCTAAATCTAGATCGTGGTTATCAATGAAGAATTTTGTCAATTAATCTCTCTGTCTCTTATTCTTAGAGGTCTCTGTTCCTCATATAAACAGATTTTATCCCAAACCCTATCATTGGTGCTCTCGTTCCTTTTCCATAGCTGATCCTTCTCACCTAAAGGCTCTGGAAGAACTTGTCTCTCAACATTGGGCTAGACTAGATGCTCAAGAGGCAAAACTTGACTCCCTTGAGGGTCTTTTGATAGCTATTACACTAAAACTGACTGTCATTGACGCCAAGCTAGAATAAGGACGGCAACAAAAAGAGCTCATGGGGGACAGTGATGCAAGTGGCGATGGCACTCCCCCGCCCGACTGGAGTTTGCAAACTTCTGGGTCTATGCCACCTTTTAAGCATTTTCGATTGGAGGTGTCACGCTTTGATGGCACAAATCCACAACTCACGACTTTCTCCTCAGAACTGAAAATCATTTCTTAACTGGGCCCCATCGACCATTCTGCTAATTATGTCACGATTGTCGCCGACCACCAGTCTACGGTTGACCTTCCCTTGGTCCTTCTCGGTCATAATAACAACAATCCTCCGCCACTGCCGACGACCCTCACCAAGCCTCCCACAGGTTCCGATCTCACTCTGGTGCCGTTGCCAGGCATCGTGTTGGCTCACGACAAGGGAACAAATGACTTCTTTACCGTGCTGATTTTTTACCCCAGTGGAACTTTTGCCGTCTCTTTACTACTTTGGACCTCATTTGTGCCAAATGATTTCTCGTGGTGTAGTACCTCGCAACCTTGAGGAGAAGGTTGAACCGAAAGGGAAGACAATGTTAGAATTATTTTATAATTAGAACAATTATGTTAAGTCTTTTATAATTATATTAAGTCTTTTTATAATTATCATTTATAATTATGCTATTATCGTATTAGGATAGAATTATGATTATCTTATTATCTTTTTATAATTATGATAGAATATCTTATTTGATTTGAATTAGACAATTAGAGTCATTTTGGGAGTCATTGGAGTCAAGTGTAAGGCTATATAATAGCCTAAATCTAGATTGTGGTTATCAATGAAGAATTTTGTAAATTAATATATCTATCTCTTGTTCTTGAAGGTCTATGTTCCTCATATAAACAGATTCTATCAATGATAGGGTTTGGGATATGATCTGTTTATATGAGGAACAAAGACCTCCAAGAACAAGAGAAAGAAAAATTAATTAACAAAATTCTTCATTGATAACCACAATCTAGATTTAGGCTATTATATAGCCTTACACTTGACTCCAATGACTCCCAAAATGACTCTAATTGTCTAATTCAAATCTAATAAGATATTTTGTCTTAATTATAAAAAGATAATAAGATAACATAAAAGAATTCATGATGATCTCATTCCATATGCTACTTTTAAACCTTATACCTGCGGTAAATTGTTTTCCAGATCTTAACGTTACAACTCCAAATCTTTAAGACCAAATGAGTCTATGAGTGCAACATTGGATACACATATCATTTCCTTGATTTTCTCTTTGCCGATGTTGTTTGCTTTATAGCATCATTGATAACATTTCTGTTAGTAATGTTAACAAATTCTTGGAGAAGTATTTTCCAGGGAGCAATATACTTGATGACAACAGTGGTTATCGTCTCTGCGATATTGCTTTACAAAAATGTGTTAGCCTTTACAACTAATTCACGTAGTTTAATCATTACTGGATAGTTTGATGATAAAAGAGCAAAGGGATCCAACATAGGTTCCTGAGTTCAAATCCCCCCAATCACTAATAGGAGTGCCACTAAGAGGATTTACTTAGCTGTTCACTACAAGGTCTTGTGAAATTAATTAAGATGCGATCAAATTAACTCGAACACCCTCGATCCCAAAAAAAGAGAAAAAAAATTAACGTAGTTTGTACGTTAAGCTAGTTCACCGAAGCTAACTTAGAATTTGTACTTTCTAATTTTTTATTGTTATGGAGAATGGAGTCAAATCATATTGGTATAATCTCTATGTCAGCAGCAAGACATGCCTCATATTAAACAAATTTTTACCTCAAAAGTTTCTCCATGTATGTTTACTAGGTAATTTGAGAATAATTGTTTTAAGGAATATTATACATTTAAGCTTTAATCTAGCTAAATGAAGAAGCTTCATGTTTGTTTCCCTGATGCATCTTTTAATATGTAGAGACAAACAAATTTAACTTTATTATTCTCCTTACTCGGGTATGCGTTTGTTCTCAGTTTCATATTTTGATGTGATTGTTTTTGGATTCATTGTTTAAATTAAAAGAATGTAAACATCAATTTCTATGTTGATCCTATATATATATATATAAACATTCTCGGGTGACTTATTGATTAGATAGGGAAAAGTAAATGGATCAGAGATTATACATTGCTGCTTGCAACGGAGATATTGGAGCTTTGCAGGAATTACATAGAAGTGATCCTCTCATCCTCTTTAAAGTTGCTCTTGAAACTTCGGATACTCCTCTACATGTAGCAGCACTGCTTGGACACTCTCAATTTGCGAAAGTGGTAATGGATCGAAATCCAGAATTATCAAGGGAAGTGAATCATGATGGACATACTCCACTTCACTTGGCCTCATCAAAAGGGTACTTGCAGATAGTGACCGATTTACTGAAGCTAGACAAGGGACTTTGTATCTTAAAGGATTCTGAAGGTAGGACTCCACTCCATTGTGCAACAATCAAAGGAAGACTGGAAGTCATTCGACAATTGTTATCATGCTGTCCTGAGTCAGCTAGAGATGTTACGTCTAGAAATGAGACCATGCTTCACCTTGCTGTGAAGAATAGCCAGACCGAGCTTTTGGTCTCACTGCTATCACTTCTTGGTGAGAATCTGGTGGATGAGCTTGTCAATCGCGTTGATGAAGATGGAAATACTGTATTGCACCTGGCCACTATCAGGAAGCAACACCGGGTAAGTAATGGATGAATAATTGATATTGTAACTAAGTTGTGTCATTACCAAACTGCATCAATTATGCGAATTGCATAACCATACAAGATGTCTTGATTCATGAATAAAAAAATTGTTTCATGGTTTGTGTAAATATACGGTTACACATTTACCGTAATTAAATGTCTTTTGTTTTAACTTTATATAGATGATAAAGATGTTGTTAAATGAGACAAAGGTGAACGTCAATGCTGCGAATGCTAGTGGACGCACTGCATTAGACATTTCGGAGATGTGTTCTTCAGAATCTGATAACATAAACATCGGAGAGATGATTCGGTATGCCCAAGGACAAAGAGCCTCTCAAATCCATCAAAAGAATCCAGCCCAGAGAAGTAATGAAGAACAAGTTGTAGATATTGATTCTAATCATCAGGAGACACCCGCGAACACGAATGAGAATTCACCCACATCAACACAAGAACCACCACCAGACGCCGAATCTGAGAGGAGAGAGTTGGACTCCATAAAAAATGGGATAATTGTTTTGTGTTCGTTGTTTGCAGCATTTTGCTTTGATGCTATACTCAATCCTCCAGGTGGCATCTGGCAGAGTTGGCCGTCCAGCAACATTACTAATAGTACACAGGCAGCCATTGAAGTAAACAAATTCAAGATGTCCTCTGATGTGAGATGGATAAACATTATACCAGCTGCGTATACTTGGTTTACACATCTTAACGTTACAAGCCCAGATCTATTAGGGCCAAATAAGTCTATGAGTGCAACATTAGATATATATCATTTCCTTGACTTTCTCTTTGCCGATGCTGTTTGCTTTATAGCATCATTGATAACAGTTCTGTTAGTAATGTTAACAAATTCTTGGAGTAGTATTTTCCAGGGAGCAATATACTTTATGACAACACTGGTTATCGTCTCTGCGACAATGCTTTACAAAAATGTGTTAGCCTTGACAACCAATGAAGAATTTGCTAAATGGGCCGTGGTGGCTGGAGTATCACATTCGATCTCGGTACTTATATTTTGTTCATTCCTGATATTATTCTGTACAAGGACAACCAGGGATGCGATATTGGGTTTTATTGTCCGGTTAATTGAGAATTGTTTGTACTGTCTGTGTTTTATTTGTGTGTTCATTGAAGATATTATTCACTAGAAAGAAGACATGGGAAGTGATATTGGTTATTATTCTCTCGTTATGTGAGACTTGTTTGTACTATCTGTGTGTCAATCTAAGCAAGCTCGTGTGCTGGCTATGGAGGGGGAGGTGTTATCATGAGGAATAAGAGCTCACAGCTCGGGTCACCTGCTCGTGCCTGCTGTAAGGAAATTTTCTCAGTGTATTGTTATCAGTTGATTCTTCTTTAGTTTGTGTCGTTTTACGTATTTTCTAATCTTATACTTCCAGTGGTTTATTTTACTCATTATCTTTTGTGGATTGCATGAATATTTGTCATGTTTTAGAGCTTTGACTGAGCTTCTAGACTGAAACCAGCTATATATATATATATATATCACTTTTGTTTTTTCCTCTTAATTTCCCTATATCTTCTCCTCGTTTGATCGATAACTGTCTTGTTCTATCAAACAATTTTAGAGATGTTCCTACCAGGAAACCTAGAATAAAGCTTTGGTTATTCTGGTGTGGTGACACACGAGGATGAGGTTCGCTCGTTCTATACTTTTCTAGCTTACTACCTCTTAATTTTAAAAGTTGCTACTTTAAAAAAAAATGATACAATTGATATCTTTATTTTTGTCATACAGAAAAACACATATATTTGGCTAATTTTAGCTCAAATTCTAACAAATTTAGTAAGTTATTTTTGAGTGGTGGCTACGAGCAAGTCTCAACTCAACTGCTCATGTTAGAGTTGTCGACTACTTCAGTATAAATAGGTTACATATATGTAATTGCGCCTTCAGCCCGTAGGTGGTTTGAGTTTTTTCCATGTATAACCGCTATAGAATTTTTTTAAATTATTAATTTCTTATTGGGTTTGAGCTTAGGAATAGAAATGTTTATAAAACTAGGTTTAGTCTTTTAAACCTAGTATATAAACATTTTTTTTTTTTTTTTGTTATGAGTGTGATAGTAATCATAAGGCAATTCATTCATTGTAAACGAGAGAGATGAGACAGTATTGCAATAATATTGACTCAGTTGGACGTATCCTATATTGTGTGAACCAAGATAAATCGTGCATATTATTTTCTTTCTTTACTATCTGTGATTTGTTTGTCTGTTATATTGGTTTCGTATTTGCCTCTGTTTCGTTCAGCTCAAGGGAGGTGGTTGAGAGATTCTGGAAGGTTGAGGAGTTTTTAGAGAAAGCCTTAAACCTCAGGGGAGATACCGATAATATGCCTTAATTTGGGCCAACCCAACCCACTATAAACCTATAGTTAAAGCCCAAATGCAACAATATTNAAGGATACAATTGATATCTTTATTGGTCATATAAAAAAAGACATATATTTGGCTCAAATTCTAACAGTTTAGTAACAACATTTACTAAGTTATTTTTGAATGGTGGCTACAAGCAAGTCTCACCTCAACCACTCATATTGGAGTTGTCAACTACTTTAGTATTAATAGGTTACGCAGATGTAGTTGGGCCTCGAGCCCGTAGGTGGTTTGGGCCTTTTTCATGTATAACCGCTATAGAATTTTTTTAAATTATTAATTCTTTATTGGGTTTGAGCTTAGGAATAGAAATATTTGTAAAACTAGATTTAGTGATTTAAACCTTATATATAAATATATTTTTCTCTTGTTATGAGTGTGATAACAATCATAGGGCAATTCATTCATTGTAAACGAGAGAGGTAAGACAGTATTGCAATAATATTTATTCAGTTAGACTTAGCCTATATTGGGTGAACCAGGGTAAATTGTGCATATTATTTTCTCTCTTTAATGTCTGTGATTTGTTTGTCTGTTATATTGGCTTTGTATTTGTCTCTATTTCGTTCAACTCAGGGGAGGTGGTTGAGAGATTCTGGAAGGTCGGGGAGTTTTAAAGAAAACCTTAAACCTCAGGGGAGATACCGATAATACGCCTTAATTTGGGCCAACCCAATCCACTATAAACCTATAATTAAAGCCCAAATGCAACAATGTTCGATCGTGGAAATTTTGTGTAACAGTGCGTTCATATGACCAACACATTTCAAGTACCAGAGCGTTCATGTGACCAACAAATGGCTTCCATTCAAATTTTTTTTTTTCAAAAGTAACTAAAGCATTCAAGCCCACATTTGAGTCCGTGTAACCATCAGGGCCACAAGAACACTCTACAAACCTCTCAATTGGAGACTACTTAATCCTTAAGGTCTCAAAACACTGTACAAGGATACCAATACATCAGGGTAATTGTACAAATACAATACAATAATGCTAAGTCTACAAGTTTCAATAATCAGTTGAGTGCGCACAAGTTGAAAAAGAGTCACAGATGATATATGGGTAAAAAATAAATGAGAGGGAATTACACTTTAGAGATACGTGTTCAAAATGGAAAATACAAACATTTTATTTCTTTGATTCTCTTATCTCTCAACGTGTAAGAAAGAAGGTGTTTTGTGATTGACTCTGAAATATGAAAGCTTTCATAAAAGCTAGTTCTACATCATTTTGGAATTTCAGTTTGGATTTAGAATCCAGATTAAACATTTACATTAAACTGGCGCAATACGATTTCTCTTAAATGATCTTAAACTCAGAAGTAACGGTCAAAAACCCCGCCAAGGCATGAATTCCAAATTTCATGGGAAATCATCTTCGTCTAGCAACACTCTTATTGCAAAATCTATACAAACCAATACCCATCTGTTCCTTCTCTACATCTACCCTACAAAAGCAAACAAAAACACCCACCAACCAGAAAACAAAAACCTTCTCTCACATTTTCCAAGAATGCGCCGTTCACCGAGCGCAAAACCCTGGAAAACAAGCTCATGCCCGCATGATTGTATCTGGGTTCCAGCCCACAATCTTTGTCACCAACTGTTTGATCCAAACGTACATAAGATGTTCTGATTTGGGCTTCGCTTATCAGGTGTTTGATAAGATGCCGGAAAGAGATGTTGTTTCGTGGAATGCGTTGATTTTTGGGTATGCTGCGTGTGGTGAAATGGGGGTTGCGAAGTCATTGTTTGAGGCAATGCCTGAAAGAGATGTAGTTTCATGGAATTCATTGATTTCAGGGTATCTGCAGACGGGGGAATGTCTGAAGGTGATTCAGGTGTTTATGAAGATGGGAAGGTTGGATGTAGTATATGATAGGAGGAGTTTTGCTGTTGTTTTGAAAGCGTGTTCGATTTTGGAGGACGGTAATGTAGGGGTTCAGGTTCATAGCATTGCAATGAAAATTGGTTTTCATAAGGATGTGGTTACGGGCAGTGCTTTGGTAGACATGTATGCAAAGTGTAGGAATTTGGATGAGGCGCTTTTGCTATTTAGAGAAATTTCTCAGAAGAATTGGGTTTCTTGGAGTGCTGTGATTGCAGGTTGTGTTCAAAATGAAGCCTTTGTTAAGGGTTTGGAATTGTTCAAGGCAATGCTAAAGGAAGGAATTGGGGTTAGTCAGTCCATTTATGCTAGTCTCTTCAGGTTGTGTGCAGGATTATCTGCATTTAGATTAGGTACTCAGTTGCATGCCCATGCTTTAAAAAACGATTTGTCTTTGGATGCAATCGTTGGAACTGCCACTTTGGATATGTATGCAAAATGTAACAATATACAAGATGCTCGAAAGTTGTTTAACTCATTGCCCAATTATAATTTGCAATCTTACAATGCCATTATTGTTGGTTACACACGAAAAAGACAAGGCTGTGAAGCTTTGCAGTTATTTTCACTTTTGCAGAGATCTGGTCTTGGTTTCAACGAAATAAGTTTATCAGGAGCATTTAGTGCATGTGCAGTTATTAAAGGCCATGTGGAAGGGCTTCAAGTACATGGGCTAGCAATTAAGAGTACTCTTACATCAAATATTTGTGTAGCAAATGCCATTCTAGACATGTATGGCAAATGTGGAGCTCTGGCTGAAGCTTGTCTTGTCTTTGATGAAATGCAAAGAAGGGATGCTGTATCTTGGAATGCAATAATTGCCGCTCATGAACAGAATGGGAAAGAAGAGGAAACACTATCCTATTTTGTTTTAATGCTCCATGCAAGGATGGAACCTGATGAGTTCACTTATGGCAGTGTCTTAAAAGCTTGTGCAGGTCAGCAAGCTTTAAATTATGGTATGGAGATCCACAATAGAGTTATCAAATCAGGAATGGGGTTGAACTGGTTTGTTGGAAGCACACTTGTTGATATGTACTGCAAGTGTGGAATGATGGAGGAAGCAGAGAAGATCCATGACAGAACACAAGAACAAGCTATGGTTTCATGGAATGCAATAATCTCTGGGTTCTCAGGGCAAAAACAAAGTGAGAATGCTCAAAAATATTTTTCTAGGATGATGGAAATGGGTGTAAAGCCAGACAACTTCACTTATGCAACAGTTCTTGATACTTGTGCAAATTTAGCTACTGTTGGACTTGGTAAGCAAATACATGCACAAATTATTAAACAAGAATTACAATCAGATGTTTATATATCCAGCACTCTTGTTGATATGTACTCAAAGTGTGGAAACATGCAAGAGTCACGGATAATATTTGAGAAAGCATCAAAGCGGGACTTTGTAACATGGAATGCCATGATTTGTGGCTATGCTCAGCATGGCTATGGAGATGATGCCCTTAAGGTTTTTGAGAAAATGGAACATGAGAATGTGAAGCCAAATCATGCAACTTTTGTCTCAGTTCTCCGAGCTTGTGCTCACATGGGACTTGTTGAAAAAGGGCTGCACTACTTCAATATAATGCTGAGTGACTATGGTTTAGATCCTCAGTTGGAGCATTATTCATGCATGGTGGATATACTAGGAAGGTCAGGCCAGGTTAATGAGGCTTTGAAACTTATTCAAGAGATGCCCTTTGAAGCCGATGATGTTATATGGAGAACTCTGCTTAGCATTTGCAACATCCATGCGAATATAGATGTGGCAGAAAAGGCAGCCAATTCTCTTTTGCAAATGGACCCACAAGACTCCTCTGCTTGTATTCTTCTATCAAATATTTACGCTAATGCTGGAATGTGGGACAAAGTTTCATGTATGAGGAAGATGATGAGGCAGAATAAGCTGAAAAAAGAGCCAGGTTGCAGCTGGATTGAGGTAAAAGACGAGGTACATACATTTCTTGTTGGGGACAAAGCTCATCCGAAATGTAAAGAAATTTATGAGAAGCTTGGTATACTAATTGGCGAAATGAAGTGGGCTGGATATGTGCCTGATTCAGATTTTTTACTCAATGAGGAGGCAGAAGAACATGAGCAGCAAGACGAGTCCAGAACCTGGATGTGCAATCCATAGTTTTAAAACAAATGTTTAGTACTCCTAAATCGCACTCAGGAAAACGAGAAAAAATTAAAGCTTGGCAACAATTTTGTATCTTATATTTACAGTCCCTCCAGTCTGGCGGGGGTAGTAAAGAGGGTGTAGTGACTAATTAGGGCTCTCAACTATGCTAATCAAATCAATCAGTGAGCAAACACAATCTTATCAAGCAATAAAATCAGAGATTAATTAAAGCATGAAACAAATCAGAAAAACAATTGACACAGGGGATTTATAATAGTTCGGCTAAGGAAGCCTACATCCACTCTTCAAGGCATACTATAGGATATTTCATTAATCAAGAGAACCAAATGTTACAAAGAGTAAACAATCAAAGAATAACAAGAAAGAACACACATGTTTCAGCCCTCTCTCTACACCCTCTGTATTCGCACAAAATGGTCAGAAATTTATACACATCAAGACCCCATTGATCATCTTCCAGCTGTCCAGAAAAATCTGCAGTTTGTTAGAGCAGAGGAGCACTAGAATCTTCTGTGTTAGGGCTAAGAAGGAACCAGAGAAGGCCATTGTTTTAAAACCCGGACCGGAGGACAAACCGTTTTGCTGTCCGGGTCACGGTTCAATCGGTCCAACCGGTTGGACCGGTCGGTTGGACCGATGACGTCAGCAATATTTTATTTTTAAAAAAATTACATATTAACCCCTTAAATCTCAATATACTACAAAAATTCCCCTTAAAAAGTTCAAATTGGTCCCTAAAATTTTTATTTATTCCAAAAATGCCCACTAAAATTACCAATTAATCCCTAAGCTTTTGATATATCTTCAAAATACCCTTATAAAATTACAAAGTAACCCTCATAATTTTAAAATATTTCAAAAACCCCCCTAAGACCTAAACCGGACCGGAGAAGCTTCCGGTTCCCGGTCCAACCGGTCCGACCGATCGGTCCGGTCCGGTTTTTAAAACAGAGGAGAAGGCTTGAAAAGAGCTGTGCATTCTGTTGCAACAGAATGAAATTCGTGTGCCAGATAAGGCACTTAAGTCTGATAGTTGAGACGCTGCCGTATTGGTTTAATTTGAAGCTGACTTCTTTGACTGATGCTGACTCCACCATGGCACACACAAGCCACATCATCATCACAGAGGGATTAGCGCACACGAACACTCTCACTCTGAAAATGTCCGGAAGTCTCTGGCTTGATCTCTGTATCCCAAGTTTCAACTCATTCCAAGCTAAAGTTCTGCTCGTGCAGCTAATGTGTACGGCTAGCAATGTTTATACAGCGGGCTATGTATGTTTTTGGAAACAAATAGAGAGGAGGTAGGACTGTTAGTCAACTGCTTAAGGCACAACTTTCTGTCCTCTGCAACCACCTTCAGCTCTATAGCCGACGCCTTTTGCTTTAGTTACCAACTGGACCTAGTATTCAGCTGAGTTCCCAGAAATGTAGGGATTTGTTAGAATATTTGACACAGGAAACAGCCTAAATTTGAGTCAGCAATAGACCTGCATAAACTGTTGGAATAACAAGCCAATCTGAAGCTCCAAAAATGGAGGATGTTTTTTTAATTTTATCATATTACAAATTATGTTTAGCTATGTATAGAAGTAATCTATGAGGTAGAGTTTCTATTTGGTTGGACTCGTTTAGACTTATTTATTTTGGAATTGTCTCTTATTTGTCATTGTTAAAACTTTTGGTCTTTAACTGTGAGTTTCTTAAAATGTGTCCTTCAAGTGAAAAGGCCTCAAACAATTTATACAAGAATTATGAAGAATAGGTGAAATACGGTGCGTTTAAGATTATCCTATACTCATCAGTGACGGTTAAAACCCCGCCAAAGCATGACTTCCAAAATTCATGGGAAATTATCTTCGTGTAACAACATTCTTATCAGAATCCTTATACAAAACAATACGAATCTCATCGTTCTCTACATCTACACCCAAAAAGCAAACGAAAACACCCACAAAATGGGAAACAAAAACCTTCTCTCATATTTTCCAAGAATGTACATATCAACGAGTGCAAAACCCGGGAAAACAAGCCCATGCTCGCATAATTGTATCTGGGTACAAACCCAGAATCTTTGTCACCAATTGTTTAATCCAGATGTATATAAAATGCTCCAATTTGGAGCTTGCATATAAGGTGTTTGATCAAATGCCGCAGAGGGATATTGTTTCTTGGAATGCATTGGTTTTTGGGTATGTTGCGTGTGGGAAAATGGAGATTGCGAGTTCATTGTTTGAAGCAATGCCCGAAAGAGATGTAGTTTCGTGGAATTCGTTGATTTCAGGGTATCTGCATGCGGGGGATTGTCTTAAGGTGATTTATTTGTTTATGACTATGGGAAGATCAGGTGTGGTGTATAATTGGAGAAGTCTTGCTTTTGTTTTGAGAGCATGCTCAATATTGGGGGACTGTGATGTGGGGATTCAGTTTCACAGCATTGCAATAAAAATGGGTTTGGATAGGGATGTGGATATTGGGAGTGCCTTGGTAGATATGTATGCGAAGTGTGAGAAATTGGATGATTCACTTTTGCTATTCCGTAAAATGTCTGAGAAGAACAGGGTTGCGTGGAGTTCTGTAATCACAGGCTGTGCTCAAAATGATGAGTTTGTCAAGGGTTTGGAATTATTCAAGGAGATGCTGAAGGAAGGAATTGAGGTTAGTCAGTCTACTTATGCTAGTCTCTTCAGGTTGTGTGCAGGATTATCGGCATTCAGGTTTGGTTCTCAGTTGCACGCCCATGCTTTGAAGAACAGTTTTGGATCGGATGTAATCATTGGAACTGCCACTTTGGATATGTATGCAAAATGTTGTGATATGCCAGATGCACGAAAGCTGTTTAATTCATTACCCAATCATGATCTGCAATGTTACAATGCCATTATTGTTGGTTATGCACGAAATAGTCAAGGCTGTGAAGCTTTGCAGTTATTTTCGCTCTTGCGAAAGTCTGATCTTGGTTTCAATGAAATAAGTTTATCGGGGGCATTTAGTGGGTGTGCAATGATTAAAGGGTATTCGGAGGGGCTTCAACTACATGGGCTAGCTATTAAAAGTACTCTTACATCAATTATTTGTGTAGCTAATGCGATTATAGACATGTATGGTAAATGCAGAGCTCTGACCGAAGCTTGTCATGTCTTTGATGAAATGGAGAGAAGGGATGCTGTATCTTGGAATGCAATTATTGCCGCTCATGAGCAGAATGGGAATGAAGAGAAACCGCTATCCTATTTTGTTTCAATGCTCCGTGCAAGGATTGAACCTGATGAGTTCACTTATGGCAGTATATTAAAAGCTTGTGCCAGTCAGCAAGCTTTGAATTATGGCATGGAGATCCATAACAGAGTTCTCAAATCAGGAATGGGGTTGAACTGGTTTGTTGGAAGCACACTTGTTGATATGTACTGCAAGTGTGGAATGATGGAGGAAGCAGAAAAGATCCATGACAGAATGAGAGAAAAAAATATGGTTTCATGGAATGCAATAATTTCTGGATTCTCAGGGCAAAAACAAAGTGAAAATGCACAGAGATATTTTTCTCAGATGTTGGAAATGGGTGTAAAGCCGGATAACATCACTTATGCAATAGTTCTTGATACTTGTGCTAATTTGGTTACTGTTGGACTTGGCAAGCAAATTCATGCACAAATAATTAAGCAAGAACTGCAATCAGATGTTTATATAGCCAGAGCTCTAATTGATATGTACTCAAAGTGTGGAAACATGCAAGATTCACAGATGATATTTGAGAAAGCACCAAAGCAGGACTTCATGACATGGAATGCCATGATTTGTGGCTATGCTCAGCATGGCTATGGAGTTGATGCCCTTAAGGTTTTTGAGAAAATGGAACATGTGAAAGTGATGCCAAACCATGCAACTTTTGTCTCAGTGCTTCGAGCCTGTGCTCACATGGGACTCGTTGAAAAAGGGCTGCATTACTTCAAGATAATGCTGAGTAACTATGGTTTATATCCTCAGTTGGAGCATTATTCATGCATGGTTGATATATTAGGAAGGTCAGGCCAAGTTAGCAAGGCTTTGAAACTAATTCAAGAGATGCCTTTTGGAGCCGATGATGTTATATGGAGAACTCTGCTTAGCATTTGTAAGATCCACGGGGATGTAGATGTGGCAGAGGAGGCGGCCAATTCTATTTTGCGAATGCACCCACAGGACTCTTCTGCTCATATTCTACTATCAAATATTTATGCTAATGCTGGAATGTGGGACAAAGTTTCGTACATGAGGAAGATGATGAGGCAGAATAAGCTGAAAAAAGAGCCAGGTTGTAGCTGGATTGAGGTAAAAGATGAGGTGCATACATTCCTTGTTGGGGACAAAGCTCACCCGAAATGTGAAGAGATATATGAGAATCTTAGTGTACTAATTGGTGAAATGAAGTGGGCCGGATATGTGCCGGATGCTGCCTTTTTGCTTAATCAGAAGGCAGACGAACATGAGCTGCAAGAAGAGACCAGAACCGGGATGTGCAATCTATAGTGTTTACAACAAAAATCCCAGTTGTATTTAAGAAAATAATTGGACCGAGTCAGCCCTTCCATGGCTGAGGACTTTATTCAAGTAACTCCAACAATCGCTCTGGCTTCATAGTTGAATCCCAAGTTCCAAGATCAGCCGACTCTCTTGTTGATCATTGTACTTGACACATGCTGTGGTGTACAATGAGCTATGTTTCTGGAAACAAATAACGGAGGATGAAGCCGCTGCACCATCTTCACCTCTAAACCCGATGGCTGATGCTTTGGGTTTGGTTAGCAGCTGCACCCACAGTGGCTCCTTGTGAAATTCAGAAATGGGAATTAAAAGTAGGATTTGACAGAAGAAACGGCAAAAAATCTGAATCAGCCATATAGATACAAAGATAGTTATGACGAATAAGTGGTAGGTCATGATATGTTTTAAGCTTGCAAACAATAGTAGATATGGAATTCAATATTTTTTGTTTTTTTTGTTAACTGAAGATGTCTGGACCAGTTTACACGTATCTCAACTAATCCTCCGAGACTCTAAAGTTGACAATCGGATAAATCTTCTTAAAGGCCACCACTATTAATGCTTGTGGAGACTCAAACTAAGGAACCCATGTTGAACCTCTTTGCTCTTCCTGTGGTGGTTTACGAAATTCAATATTACTCTATAAGATTACATCAATTTTGCATTGGCAATTTTTAGTAAAATCACATTGCAATTGCGTTGTTATAGTTAAAACATGAAACAAAAACTCAAAATTCTCTGATTTTACCAAGGACAAAACAACACAAGCAAACAACTTCCCAGTAATGACCTCTTTGTGAATGAGGCCAGCTCTAGTTAAAAAAGGGGCTTTCCATGCAAGCATCTCAGTAATATAACCCAAATGACTTGGGTCAAGTTTTCCTTCCTGAACATGTGGACAGATAACTCTACCCTGAATCTATCCTCTCCCTACCGGCTGATTCCTCAAAACACTTATGATCAAAACTTACAGTGCTGCACAAAAGATGACATTTGAGAATACAAGAATATTTCTCATGTAGATTTCCATGCCTCTGAATTTAAGTTTCGACTAGAGATATATGTGTAGAAAGAAACTGGTTAAAATCACTCATCAACTCTGTTTCTCTTCTTTTCTACCGTTTTGTTTTTATCGACTTGTCGCTGATCAACCTCAAAATGAAGCTTACATAATGTTTCACTTAAATTCCTTTCATTGTAATCAGGGAATGACAAACTCTGGGCACCATCAAAATTGGGAGTTCTGTTTTATGAAGAAATAAGCTGCTGCAGAAACTAGTAAAATAAGAAATGCCACAAAAAGGTGTTTGTAGTTAAGAAGCCCTGCATCTATCGTCCGGACAGTTCCACACTCAGATGTTAAATCTACTGGTGCCACTTCAGTCTTACCAATAGATGCATTTTTTGGAGTATTTTCAGGCTGGAAACAGACAAAACACACAAAATTCAGACAATTTCCAGATACAACAATTTGAGAACACAAAGAAACAATGAAAAGATTGGAATAGAAAAGATAAAGTCTACGACTAGCATTTGAAGCCTTCTACTCCCATCAACTAAGAGTTTATGAAAATATGCTAAAAAGTTATTGCCTTCTACATAGAATGGGAACCTAATACACATAACATTGTAGACAAGAGAATCTTTTTCAGTTGATAGGAGTTTCTAGTAAAGTAATGGTGATTTTCTTTCCCATCTCAATTTGTACAAAATGAAGAAAATGCAAAATTAGAGGTAAAGACCAATACTACCTCAAGTTAAATCATAAAAGGACATAGGAAAGCCATACGGAGAGTGATTCAAAATCATAGTCTTTAATTTAATAGAAGACACAACCTATGAGCATACACAAACCACATATCCTTTGTTTTGCTGCCAGAAAGCTGAAACCAATTTTCCATCAGCTAAAACTCCTTACTTCCAATTAGTTTAGACCCCCAACTAGTATAACCATATTTCCATTTAACTACAATTATTAACAGCAGGAGAGAGAGAGAGAGAGAGAGAAAACGAGAATATAATTGAGATTGCCTAACAGCACACCATCTATGTTCAAGCAAGGCCGAAATAAATTACCAAATTATCAGAAACACAGTTGATGTTTGCATATACTTATTTTAAGTGAGACGAAAGATGAAAGAATAAACGTAAATCATCTACTTCTAATCATTAAACGTGATAGATAACTAATTAAGAAAAGTAACAAATTAGTAACTAAATACCTCAGAAACGGCAGCTGACAATTCAGTTACTTCTTCCTTACTTTCTCTCACAGAAGAAGCAGCAGTCAAATCATGCATACCATGATCTTTGTTAGTCTGCTGCAATTTCACTGCCATGGCTTTATTCTCTGATGTTAATGAAGAGATCTGCATATACCATATAAAAAAACTTTTCAATCAGAAGAAGTTGATCTAAATAATTGAGATTGGAGTAAAACCTTTGTTATTTCCAATGACAATTGAAACTTTCCACAACTAGATCCTAAAATTTTGTTCCTCTTAAGCTGTAGTAGAAAATCTTAGAAGAAAAATTAAGTCAGTGCAAATATAGGACAGCAATATCTGCATCTTATACTATATGAAACATGAAAACATACAAAGTGAATAAAACAGACACTTCAAACTCAGGTAAAATCGCAATTCAAATCTTAAATGATTCACAAGTATAAAGAATTTCTGATTTGTGAAATCTAAAAAAGAGAGTGAAGGTGAAAGATGACAGGTACACTGTAATACGAAAGGTTATCTAGGCTTTGCTGTGCTGTGAAATCCAATTTCTCGTCAGATTTTCCATTGTCAATATAAATCATTGCTGGTTATAGAATACTTCAGACCTTTTTTTCTATTACCCAACTGCTAAACCAACACACCCACCCCCCAACGAGCAGTCGAGCACCAAGTCAGGTGACAATAGATGCAACAAAAATATTAAGACCAAGTTTGCGCATGAAAACAAATCTATTGTGAGAGAAGTTCCACACCTGCATATGAAGCCGCTCTCTTTCTATGGCCAGTCGCATTAACAGATTTGTTATTACTTTTGTTTGTATACCAATGTCCTTTGCAGTTGCCAACTTGGTTTCCTCAACTTGATGCAAAGATGCCTCCACGCATTCAAGTCTATCCCTCAAAAAGGTTAATTCCTCGGTTAGTCTAGCATTAGCTTCAGATAATATGATTAACTTGTCCTCTGCGGTATCAGCCCGATTGTCAGCTTTTGAAACTTTCAACTTCAGATCCTCAATTAAGTTCTCCATATCTCCGATTGTAGAATACAACATATTTTCCTTCTCCAGGCTAGCTTCAGCAGATGCAACGGCATGCTGTAGCTGAATATCACTTTCCCTCAGCTGCCTCTCAAGAGAATCCACCTTATGCTGCCCTTCTTTTAGCTGCTTCTCAAGTGAATCCACCTGCTGCCTCAAAGTGAAGTTCTCAGAATTGGCAAGACTTAATTTATCTTCAGCTTCCATAGTGCAGTCAGTCTGTGTAAGAAGCAAGTCATTGAGTTTTGCATTGCTGTTTTCTAGCTTCTGCAAGGCATTTTCTTTTACTTCCAACTGTTTCATGGAACTATTAAGCTTTGACCTTAGCTCATTTTCTCGCTGAATTGAACCATTCATATTGAACTGAACAAGCTGGAGTCGACCAAGTAATTCTTTAGAAACTCCCTTCAGGACCTCAGCAGCATTCTCTGCCTCAAACAACCTTTCACAAGTGTTCGTAGCTTCTTCTTCCGTGTAGAATACTTCTTGTTCAAAAGAGATTAACCTAAATTTCAGCTCCTTGTCAGTTTGTCTTGATTCAGCTAACTTTTTCTCAAGATCCATCTCTCTTGCCAAAGATTTTTCTAGCATCCTCAAAAAATGTCTTTGTTGTTCGGCAGTTTGCATTTTTATTTTTGCATTCACATTCAGCAGTTGAACACCTTCAGAAAATTCTGTACCCTGTTCACCAGTCCCTGTCAATAGCCATGCATTAAAAAGGTGAGACAATGATTTCAATTTCTTTCTACTTCAGTATTGCACATCTTTTTCCACATAAAAAAGGCAAATGATCAGAAAATCATATTTCTTCTTTTTTTTCTGATAAGTAAGAAACAACAACTTCTTTATGTTCCACACATCTTTATCAAGAAGTGGCAGAATTTGGCCAATCAAACATGGTGATGCTGTGCAAGTGTTATGTCAATACATACAGCCTGTGTTTCATTTCTCTTATATAACCAAGCCCTAAAGCCTGTAGTGTCATTAGGGATTAAGGAAAAGCTGAAAAGAGAGCATTTTCTCAGCCATGCATAATCCAATTTCACATTCGATTTAGCGGCCTGATGTTTCAGGACATGCATAGCAGTCTCATTTTTCTGAATATCTAAATTAGCTCATTTTAACACAATCCTCAATAGATAAAAATAAAATCAATAAAATATAGTTAAATAAATTCAATGGCTTACAGTTTCCTTCTTCATCTAGACATGACAAAGTCCTATGAAACTTGGCAGATTGCTTTTTAATTTCTGAAATCTGTTCCCGTGATTGCTTCAATGAATTTTCAGAATCTAATAACTTCTCTTCCATTTCCATGGAAGTTCTTCCCAAGTGTCTGTATAAAGATATGAGCTCACGGGCATTGATAATATCTACTTCAAGAGTAGTCATGAACTTGTCAAGTTCTCTAACCTCTGAATCTAGTAGTCCAGATAAGAGATCAAATTCCAGAGCCTTCTCAGGGGAATCAGCCAGGATATGCTCTCTGTCTGAAGCAAACACTTCAAAGTCATTTTCCCTGTTTGCTACATGCATCATAAGTATTTCTAAGTTCACTAACTTCTCTGAAGAACAAGCTATATCTAATTCCACTCTACTTAAAACCTCGCCGGCACTTCCTAGTTCACTGACCACCTCACCATTAGATGACATCCCTTCAAGTAAGTCAATTCTATTTGATTCTGCCTCTGGATCACCAACATTGACAACAACAGAGACATTTGTTTCCCTGTCCATATCAGTATCCTTTTCAGTGGTGTACTGAAGACCTGAAAGTTAAAAAAGAAAAGTTAGCATAAGTTATGAAAGAGGGAAAAAAAAAAAATAGAACTGAGAGATGGAGAGTTATACAGTAAATGGAACTTTCTATCTTTTTTTTTTTTTTTTTTTCATTTTCCATTCTATCTTCCTTTTTCATGATGATCAATTGTAAACTAAACTTAGTAGAACACCGCATAAAAAGCGCCGCTAAAACATCACAGCTTTGAGAAGTTTGCAGAATCAAGTTCAACAAGCAGAGTCCTTACCCGGACTAACAAAGATTCAATGACATACAAGCCCAGAAGGGGCAGAAAAGTTTTAAAAGTTTGTATATAGTCCACATCCATTAAATATTTCCAAAGCCTATTATTTAAACAAGTGTGCAATTAGATTAATAAAGAAAAATCTTATTCGCTATTAGAAGATCTAACAGCCAGTTTCAGTTTCCGCAAGCATACTAAAAGGAGTATTCTCCAGAAATTTGTCCATGCGAGGTAGATATGGATAACACTATCTGTGCTGGTCTAAATCAGCATACAATCTAATTCTCCAATAGATATATTACTCTGATATCCCTTAACAAAACCCACTCAGAGACAGAGAAAATGCCCACACAAATTGAACCCACTCCTACATTACCGTATTTCAGAATTTAATACTTCGCAATGTTCCAAACTCCAAAACTACACATGCAATAATAAACACTCAGTGAATCAATATATTTTTGTACATTATCCTTCTAAAGATTTTCCATTGGTCAACCTTGATTAACCAAACAAGAATCCCATTTCCCACATCAAATGGGCCCACTTGTTTTCCAAAAACAGCAATTATGTTAGTAAATATAAGAAAACTGAGTCCAAGCAATCATGAAACCAACTCTTCCCAAAATAACAATCTCCTTCACCAATAATGAATTATCTATCTACAACCGTCCATTTATTACCACAACCCAACTTCAAACACAAAACTAACCCACATATCAGATGATTATTTTACATAACTTGTGTTTGCAGTACTCTAAAGAACACACACACACACACACACACACACACACACACACACACACATATATATATATATATATAGCACTTCTCACACACACACCCAAAATTTAAACATATTAAGCCATCATCCCAGGAAAATTCCTAACCGCAGCAATCAATAAGTATTACTTTTCAAATAAAAGAAAAGCACGTCCCACATTCAATGATTGATTACTTCATTATATTAGAAAGTACAGATAACCCATTTCACAAATTCACATCAATAAACAAAATATTTACTCAGAGAAGCTAAAAACGTTCAAAGCCAACATACCAACACCACAATATGCAACATATCCAAAAAAATCTTGGGAATAAATCCAAGTCATTTTCTGTCACTTTCTCAAGAAAACACTACAGTAATGAGAGAGCGGAAATGAAATTGCTTATACCTTGGTTTAGACAGAGTTGGAAAGCAGAAAAAACAGACAGTAACCCTAAGGAGTTTCCTTTTTGTAAAACTCTTCTACCAAAAATGGAGGTTAAGTTGAAAAATTTGATAATAGTGGTTTGGTGGTTTTGGGCTAGATTTATGTGATACGTGTGCATGAACATGTGTCACGTCTGTACTTCGACTTGTCCATGGAGAATCGGAGATGGAGTTGCTGAAACCTGAAGTATTTTTCGGGATTCGATTCTAGGGAAACGGGCACGGATACGGATAGAGGTTTTGTTCGGATTTTGGTTTGGTTTGGACCGTTTGGTGGGTTGGGCTTCATTGATTTTACATTATCTCTTAAAAAAAAACGAAATTCACAAATTAGAAATTAATGCCAATACTACAATAATATAAATAAATAAAGATGGAAACTAAAGAACAAGCAAATAAATTTAGATTTTAGACTGATATAATTAAATCAATGAAAATGGATGATGTTGTGTGTGATTTTTCCATCAAGCTCGAAGAGTTGCGAGGTAATAGCTCGATCCAAAATCAGTCCGACTCAATTGACTGTCCGACTCAACATAAACTCATCAAGTTGTAGCTCGACCTAGCACAAGCTAGTCGCAACCAATCCTTATAGTTGTCCAACCAACTCATAGATAACTCTAGATCCTAGATATCTCAAAAGGGATCAGATCGACAACAATTTTGGCCCAATCTCAACACTCAATTGCGAGAATATTGGAGTTGCATTTTCAATTTTAATTGTAATCCCTTCATTTTTGCCCTTTCTTTTGTACATAATATGTATATAAACCCCTTCCAACGATGAGAAAGGGGTGAGAAAACATTTTTAGGATTGTCACTGTAAGCTCTCACAGCAAATACAATAACAGTGGACGTAGGCTCAAGAGTTCAACTCGTCGACCCACTTTAAAAATATCTTTGTCATTTACTTTACTGCAATTATTATTTACTCACTACTAGTTACTCGTAATCAAGCACACATCAGTTCTAATCCCGACTAGGTCAATCGGATCACTCTAGTTGGTGCAAAAAACCTATATCAACATTTTAGTGCTAGAATGAGGGCCTCCACCAAAATATCAGAAATTCCGGCAAATAGCCACAGCGATTTAATCACTCCAGGCACACAATGGTGCGTACAAGATCGAAAACCACCATCAGAAACCACGATAATGCGGAGATCACCCACTAGGAGGTCCAACAGGACGTCGTTGGGCGTCAACCACTAGTGCTGCCAACTCAACAAACCACGAATAACTAGGGAGTAGGGACGTCAAACCCCAAGAACGGCCAACTGGTGGAAATGATCAAAAAATGGTTGCACAGGCAGTGCAACAAAACGTGGCTGAGTTGAGAAATTAGCAACCAATCACACAAAACCTTGACCAGCAACGCTTCACCGATATCACCCCAACAAGTCAAAATTCAGCCAGCAACCAGTTTGGCTCATCAGCACCAAGGGGCGACTGGCACCCCCAACATCACAAAGCACACTCCGCTCATGAGCGCGAATCCTGTGGGCAAACAAACCCCAAAAGACGACCAGGGAAACATCCAATAGGGGAAAGCGAAGGTAATGGTCACCCATGAGGCACTCGACCTAATCGGCAGTATCCCCATGTTTTTAACCCACGCCCAAGGCAAGCTGGCGAGACGAGTCATGTGCTCCAATCTGGCAATAACCGACGTCCGATTATGCCCAACGTTTGAGCAACGCACTGACAAGCATGATAGCACCTACCAGAGTAGCCATCATGACTCAACTTCGCACATCAATGCGCATAACGGAGGGGCCCCACAAGCAATAGACTTAAGAACTCACTTGTTCTAGGTAAGGCTAAACAGAGCCAGCTAAGCCAATCACAACGAAGACTTAGATTGGGTGCAGAAAATGCTTGACGATCTAATAGCCCACTAGAACAATGCGGCAAAAAAAGTAGTGAGCTCTCCCTTCACAGAGGAAGTTCGCCAAGCCCCACTTCCAGAAGGATTCAAGGCGTCAGAAAGTAAGTTCGATAGGAAAGGAGATCCTAGAGACTACCTAATGAGTGATGAAATAATATATATATTCCATGATTTTATGAGTAGATTGTAGGGAACTCGTGACTTTCATGGATTATTTTTATGCAAGTTTCTTTGTATATTTCTATTTTCCAAAATCACAGGTATGTGTATGAGTTTCAGGTTTTTAGGCAGAAAAAGTGATGAATTTATGCTCACACAGTGGTTGGAGGCTTTGAACGTGCTAAAGAGAGAAGTTGGATCGTCAAGCAAAAGAAAGAATGTGAAATTGCTAGATTGTGCCATAGCATGGTTTTTATGCGCCGCGACATGATTTTTCTGCGCCACGGCATAAGTTTTCTACGCCGCGGCACGAGAAGCTGAATTTGGACGGAAAGTTCATACTGCAACATGAAGAAGTTGGCGTCGCGGCGTGACATAGTTTTATGTTTGCGGAAGAATTTGGCACCGCGGCGCCAAAAAACCACGCCGCAACATGGATCGCAAGAAAAATACAAACCTCACCTTTTCCAACTCCGACTTGAACTTGTATTTTCCCAAAAACACCCCTAGTAAAGGAAAAGTATAAATAGGACTTTGTAATTTATTTTAGGGATACTCTTTGACCTAAATTGAGAGCCACTTTGTAGCAAGAAAGAGAAGGAGATTCTTCCTAGGGTTTTTGATTTTCATGCTTTTGGGGGAATTGAGGTTTGTTTTCTTGATGACAATGTGTAACTAATTTCTTATTTAGGGATCCAATGTAGCCTAATTGGGAGGCTCTATGTTTAAACATATATTTATTATTATCAATTCAATGGAAATCTGGATTCTATTCTGCCTTTAATTTTCATTATTGTGTGATGACACTTAGTGTGAATTAGTACGTTGTTTGTGTTGAGATTATTGAATGAATGATTAGTATTTTGTGCATACGCCCTAACAAAATATTAGTTGTTTCATGATTTCTTGAATAATTAGCATCTGTGCATACGCCCTGACAAATGCGTCTTTGTTCTTGATTTCAAGTATTCTTGTGTTTAATGGGTTTTTAATTCACAGGCTAGACTATACGTCTTAGCTAGTCTTGTGTTAAAAATACTAGGTTAATCCCAAACACCTTACAGTAATACCTTGATTTAGTGAATGCGAACCCTAGAGACTAAATTGATAAAAAATAGAGAGATGTTTGACATAGAGCTGGATAATTATAGTGAAATTGGAGCCCTAGGTTCTGGTCAATTAGGTTTTAGATAATTTTAATAGTTGTTTAATTTTAGTTTTATTCAGTTGTTGCTTTTAAATTGATCTTCCTTAATTCTTCATTATTAAGTCTTGTTTTTAGTTTTAATTGAAGCATAGTTATTAGGATTAGTAAATTGCTTACAAATCTTTGTAGGATTGACCCTTGCTTTTGCACACTAGACTATGAGAGCGATTTGTGCACTTGCGACGTTATAAAATTGTTCATCACCACCTCGACACTTTCAATGACCTGATGGAGCTGCACCAGGTCTGTGACTTGGCAAAGTGTCGTTGCTTCACGGTCACATTGGTAGGGGATGCTAAGAGGTGGTACAAAAGACTTAAGGCGAACTCCATTAGTTCTTGGCAACAATTCTCCTCGCTGTACTTGTAGCAATTCCAAGTGTGGAGACAATTCGCAATGCCTCTCAGTTACTTGAGCAACATTCATCAGAAAAGAGATGAAACACTGACGTCATATTTAACAAAGTTCCAGATGAGCAAGCAAAGGTTGCGGATGCACCGGAAGAGTCAATCTAAGCTTTGTTGATTGCAAGCATTAGGCCGCAAACGAAGCTATGGAAAGAGCTCCAAAATGAAGATCACGTAAGCCTAGCAAAGTTTTACCAAATGGCTGCAAAATACCAACGGGTAGAAAGCTCGCTAGCAACCCTAGCTAGAAGCTCGCCATAAAGAGCCTCGGACAAGCGACAATATCGCCCATCAGACAAGTGGATAGGCCACGACTATAATGATAGGGACTGGAACAGGTCTCAAAAAAGACAGAGAATAGATAACCACGGGGACATACAACCTTTCTCATAATATGCAGAATACACCCCCCTCACGCAAGGCATAGCCCATATATACGAAGTCTCTCGCGAGGCAAAGAGACTGCCCACCCTAGAAAGAGTAAGGGTGCCTCTGAGCAGAAGAGATCAACAAACATATTACCGATACCACAGGATATCAGACAAAATACCAACAAGTGATGGACCACCTAAAGGAGTTTGTTAAGAGGCACCAGCTCACGAAAATGCCAATGAGCAAAATAACTAGGTCCAACAAACCCCAGCCAACACCAACAATAAAATCCTGGTAGGCATGATCTACATAGAGCCCGACATAGCAAGGAGCTCAAGGGGTGCTTGCAAGTAATATGCTCGAGAGGCCACAACAGACTCAATCTCCCGGGTAATGAGCAGTGAAAAGAGGCTGTCGAAGCGGCCCAAACAAGAAAGCGAGGTTGTAGGATTCACAGCAAAGAATGTGAAGAATCTTCTCACCATAATCATGATGCGATTGTAATTGCAACCAGAATTGGCAATGCTAGGGTACTAAGGGTGATGGTCGATAATGGAAGTGTAGCGAACATCATTTTCTTGGGAGCTTTCCAAGAAATTAGGTTTACGGAGAAAAACTTGAGGGAGTGCCCATCGCCACTCTATGGGTTTACTGGGGACAGCTTAGTACCCAAGGGAACGATCGACATTCCCATGACCTTAGGGGCAAAACCCAAAATCAGGACGATGATGGCAGAATTCTTAGTGGTAAACTGCCCGATGACATGTAATGTCATCCTCCGAAGACCAATCTTTGGATGATTTGAGCGTAATCACTTCAGTATGCTGCCAAGCAATGAGGTTCCCCTAGGGAATTAGCACAATCAGAAGATGTAGAAATGAATCTCGGCAATGTTACAACTGGGTCATCAATGTTGCACTAAAATGATCGCTTCCAAGGACAATGGTCATTATAGAATCTGAGTCGCACCTCGGACCTCTTGAAGAACCACAGATCCTCACATCCATAGAGAATAGCCCACGATAAGGCTAACGGAAGAGCTGTAAGAAATATCCGTCAGCGAGGAAGATTCAACTCGCATATTAAAGGTCAGTAGCAATATGAGCAAAGAAATTACTGATAATCTGGTGGGAACCTCAACGTGTTCACATGGGTGCATGCGAATATGGTAAGGATCAGCCCCAAGATAATGTGCCACAGATTGAATATCGACCCAACAGCGAGACCAATAAGACAGAAGAGAAGGCATATGGATGCAAAAC